TGGTGGCACTATGGGGGTTCTGCTTGAGCAGTTGCAAAGTCCTTGGGCTCACTACAAGCCATACCTTTGCTGGGGTGCCTCGTCAGCACCCCCTCTCCACCTACCGCCCTGGGACCATGCGGAGATGAGCTGTAGTACTGGATAGAGAGTCGGGTAAAGCATCCTGGACACACGTTGGAAGAGCACGGTCAAATCTTGGTTTTGCCTCTTAGTCCAGTCCTGACTTGTTCATCTAGAGAATGGGGACCTTACAGTGTCACAGAGATCCTCAAAGTGATGGAAGGGAGCCCGCCTCCAGCTGCCCCGTCTGGGTCCTCGGCGCCAGAACTGTGCATACAATAATCCTCATTGTGCTTTCTCTCCCCGCAGCCCAGTGGATTTCATGTTAGATGTGACAGGGAGAGAGCAGAAGTGGGAACTCGAGGGTGGCGGTTGCTCTGGTCAGGTTCCCCACATCAACCACCTCTGAGGGTACCATTCACAGTAGCCCATAGGTACCGCTATGTGGTGGCCCTGGCCCCTTAGGCGCACTCTTACACTAGAGGTGTATAGACACAGTTTAGGTACCCTTATGGGGTAGTCCTGGCCCTTTCAGAGGAGACGTGATGGATGAGGCCTGACCTAGGCCTGTGATAGCAACATAGACAAGAGGGGACTGAATCCAGGAACGCTGGTGCGGATGGTGGCATTAATAGCCTGCGCATGGGGTGCTCAAGGACTCCCCTCGGACATTTAGCTGGGGGTGCCAAGCAGCTGGGGGACTCCGGGGAGAGGATGGCCAGCAGACCAAAGAGGTGGCTCCATGTGGTGATCACACAGGCAGCTTGAGAAGAGTGTCTGGGGGTCACTCGATGGCTGTCCCGAAAGCCTTGGAACCACAGTATGGCCAGGAGAGGTAGCCCCGAAGACCTCACACTCCCCGGCACTGGAACTGCCAGTGCGTCTTCTCTCCACCCACCGGGACAGGAGTAGCATCCATTTCACATCACAGGTTGGGAGGGGATTTGTGCTGGAGGTTAGAGTGTCAACCCAGCTTGGCTTGGGGACCTCCCTTGAGGCGGTCTAAATCTTATGAGCCCTTCCTGGGACCAAGTGACGGGGGTCCCTTAATTCCACCTTTCTTCCACCTCAATTCCACTATTGCCATCATCAGAAGACCTGGCTGATATTTCCCCCACTCAATATTGTGTGTGTGTGTGTGTGTGTGTGTGTGTGTGTGTGTGTGTGTGTGTGTGTTTGTGGTGTGAGGACATAACATGTTCTGCTCTCCTGAGACAGGGTCTCTCACTGCATGTGGAGTAAGGCTGGCAGTCCCAGCTACCCTCCTGTCTCTGCTCCTCTCCCTCTGAGTGCCGGGGTTACAGATGCCTGCACAGCTATGCGCAGCTCATTATGTGAGTGCTGAACTCAAGTCCTCAGTCTTGGGCAGGAAGCGCTCTTACCTGATGGCCATCTCCCCAGCCTCAGCCCCTTGCTGAAGTCCAATGTCTGTCCAGTAACAATCATCCATACAGGTTTGTGGTTTCTGTGACCAACACCACTATTAAGGCAGAATATTTCTGTCAACATGAGAACTTCCTTCAGGCCTCTATGTAGTCAAGTCTCTTTCCTCACCCCAAACTCTGACCCCACAAACCTCTGCCTCTCCAGTGTCACTGAGATGCAGTCACATAGGAGGTGACCTTTTGTGCTGGCTTTTGCCGCTGAGCGTGCATTTGAGTTCTTCCACTTTTCCCCCAGAGCAACCATCGCTGTGCAGACACACCCACCACCCTACCCCTTCACCAGCAGAGGCATACTTGAGTGGTTTGGGGATGGCCATGAATCAAGCTGCTATAGTCCGTGCGCAGATTATAGTCATGTTCTCACTTCTCTTGGGGAACACCCTGAAGTGTAAGTGTCCTGTTGTCTGGAAGCTGTCCCCTCAGACAGACTGCCAACCTGTTTTCACCTAGGACTGGTTCTGTCCCAGCATCAAATGAGGGCTGAGTGTGGTGACATAGTGTGTACCCTAATAAAATTTGCCTGAAGATCAGGGGACAGAACAAGCCACTAGATTAAGCATAGAGGCCAGGAAGTGGTGGCACACACCTTTAATCCTAGCACTTGGGAGGCAGAGAACTGTCTGGATCTCTGTGAGTTCAAAGCCACCCTGGACTACATGAGACTGATTCAGTCTAGGAGAGAAACAGAGCCAGGCAGTGGTGGCACACACCTTTAACCCCAGTATTTAGGAGTCACACTCCTTGAACCCCAGCACTTGAGATCTCATGCCTCTGCTACCAGTATTTGGGAAGCACACACACCTTTAATCCCAGCACTAGGAAGGAAGTGATATGGCAGGGTGGAGAAAGGTAGAGGAGACAGGAACTAAAGGCTTTTCAGGCTGAGGAGTCCTAGAGGTGAGACATGGCAGTGGCTTGTTCCTTTGTCTCTGATCTTTCAGCAATTACCCCAATATCTGGCTCTGGATATTTTATTAAAAGACCAATTTAAAAATTCATGTTACAGCTGAGAGCTCCATGTATGTGGCTGGGAGGGACACACCTGATGTGTGTGTGTAGATGGCACATGGCTGGAGGCCAGGGTGTGTGTGTCCTGGTCTGTCACTCTGCCTTATTCCCTGAGACCAAGGAGCTCCAGCAAGCCTGCTCTCTGTCCTACACAGCACTGGGATTATAGGCATGAGTGTGGCCATGCCTGGCTTTTTATATGGTCACCACGGATTTGAACTTGGGTTCTCATGCTTGTATAGCTAATGTTCTTAGCCACCGAGCCATCTCACTAGCCTCAGCAGCAGAAAATTAAGATTCAAGATGTGTCTGAAGCCAGCTGGGTGCCTCTTCCAGCCAGGGTACTTAAAACTACTGCTTCCTCTGCCCTTTACCTGGGGTGACCTCCTGCCCTCCACACTACCCAGAGTTCCCTTCCTGGGATGACCTCTCACCTGTCACATAACCTAGAGGCCACTTAGGGAGCCCACCCAACTATCTGGGACTCCTGAGATATTCCAGCCCTTGTGGACTGATGGCTGCCAGAGCCCTCGCACCTCTGGACAGTTCTAGAACGTCCTGTCTTCCTGGAGAGAGCAAAGCAAACCTTTTTCATGCTACCCATCCCTCGGGCTTGGCACACAAGAATTTGCTCTAGAACCTGTGTGTGCACAGGGTCGCAGCTAGGCTGTGGATCTTGGTGTCTGGGCCCTCAAGAGAAGGAAGCAGAGATTCGAACTGACACAAAACCAAAGTAAGTGTCCTGACAGGCTTGGCCTCCAGGGCCTCTAGAGTTGTCCATTCCCCTCCCCTCCCTGTTTCCATCTTCTCCTCCCAGGGTCTATGCAGGCCTGCTGTTAACCACCTCTTGCTGCACTATTAAGTTGCTGTCCCATGGGGACTAAAATCTGAGACACCCCAGAAGTCCCAGAAGGACACCTCCACCTTCTTCTGCCTGTTGTTGTCCATGGCTCTTTGCTTAAGATGACAAGATGGGCAGTTCCATTTTCCGTAAGACTGGCAGGCCACAGGAGCTGGGGAAGAAAGGATGCCACTCAGCTTCTGCTCCTGAGGCACAGGCCGACCAGTGTCCCACAGAGACACCTTATCCTGCAGTGTTGGCCATTTCCGTTTGTCTCCCAGCTGTTAGCGGCACATCTGGAAAGTGCTTGTCCTTCCCCCAAGCCTGTCCTGCTCTCTCCCCCACTTCAGTAGATTCTCAGTAGTGGAGGAAAGTGCCAGGCCTTTGTCTAGTGCCCCCGGGGCTGCTGGCATGGGCCACGGTAAGCAGGAGTGAAGCCTGAGGCGCACAGGGATGGCCTTGAGGGAGGGACATTATGTCCTTGACACTGAGGCTGCATGCTCACAGCTCTCTATGCTGCCCTGCCCATTGCCTCCTCCTCCAGGGGTCTTCCTGAGAGACAGGCTTCCTGGTGCTTCCTTTGGGTGGTGACCACTGTGCGTCCTGTAGTATGGTGATTTCCATCGATGTCCATGTCCCAGGAAGGATTGTTGGCGTCAGGACAAGAGCTATGTGTGTTTTATGTTTGTAGCTTCAGTGCCAGGGGACAGAACCTGGTATTTAGTGGATAATGAGAGATCATGAGTAAGATGGATAGAAGGAAAGACGCTGGTGGTGACAGTGAATGGAGTGGACGGAGTGATGGGCCATCACCGCTGCTGGTGGTGAGGAGAGACTGGAGGTGGTGGATGGCTAAAAACCCAGTCGCTCAGCGGTTCTCAACCTTCCTAACGCTGCCATCCTTTAGTACAGTTCCTCATGCTGTGGTGAGCCCCATGCAACCATAAAAGTATTTTTGTTGCTACTGCATAACTGTAATTTTGCTACTGTTATGAATCGTAATGTAAATATCTGATATGAGGGATGTCCGATATGTGCCCCCCCAAGGGGTCATGACCCACAGGTTGAGAACCACTGCAGTAGAGGGGTGGTGGCTGGGAAAACACAGTGGGTGGTAGCAGGAAGGATGGCAGTTACAGCTGGCCATGCTAATGGAGGTGGAAATGCTGGCCAATTTTATGGTGGTGTGTGATATTTTGTGTTCTGACAAATAAAGCTTGCCTGGAGATCAGAGGGTGGAGCTAGCCACTAGTTAATCACAGAAGCCTGGCAGTGGTGGCTCACACTTTTAATCCCAGCACTTGGGAGGCTCGTGCCTTTGATCCCAGCACTTGGGAGGCTCACACCTTTAATCCCAGCACTCAGGAGGTAGAAACAGGAATCTAAGGTGGGTGGAGATGGGATCTCGGCCCATTCGGTCAGAGGATCTGGAGAGGTAAGAAGTCACTGGTGGCTGTTCCTTTGCTCTCTCATCGTTCAGGTTATTACCCTGATATGTATGACTCCTGCTTTTAATTGATAAGACTGATTAGGCTCGGGCTTCACAGTGGGTGATGGCTGTTTCTTTCCCAGCCCTCCCCTAGGAGACCCTGACCAGGCTCTTGGTCCTGTTAAGTTCTCTGAGGCTGTGGCCTGTTCCTTTGCAGACTCCATCGGGGGCTCCTTCCCGGGCACTTCTCACCGATGCCATCACAAACAGAAGCACTGCCCGCCCGTGCTGTCAGCTGGGGGGCTCCAGGCCACGCCGCTGCTCTTCCACCCTCACACTAAGGGCTCCCAGATCCTCATGGACCTCAGCCACAAGGCCGTCAAGAGGCAGGCCAGCTTCTGCAACGCCATCACCTTCAGTAACCGCCCGGTGCTCATCTACGAGCAAGTCCGGCTGAAGGTGGGCGCCCCTGACCCCTGCCTTTGGCCTCTTTGGCCTGCTGTTCTTCTACCAGCAGCCTGCCCCTCCCCTTCTCTCATCCTGACTCCTTTCCCAGACTTCCTGGGTAATAAGACTCAGTGGGAGTGGCCTTCATTAACCTATAGGAAGGGCCCTGGGGTGGGCGGTGGGCGGGAATGAGCCTCATAGTGAGATTTCCGGCTGCCAGACACTCCCAAGAGTTGGCTGAGGGTCGTCTATAGTGAGCCCACCCCTTTCCCTGTGGTCCTGTGACCAAGGGGGAGAGGCTAGGCTGAGGGTCCCCACCCCCTGTGGCCAGATCACCAAGAAGCAGAGCTGCTGGAGCGGGGCCCTGCGACTCGGCTTCACCAGCAAGGACCCTTCCCGCATCCACCCCGACTCGCTGCCCAAGTACGCCTGCCCTGACCTGGTGTCTCAGAGTGGCTTCTGGGCCAAAGCTCTGCCCGAGGAGTTTGCCAACGAGGGCAACATCATTGCCTTCTGGGTGGACAAGAAGGGCCGCGTCTTCTACCGCATCAATGACTCGGCCGCTATGCTTTTCTTCAATGGGGTCCGGACAGCTGACCCGCTCTGGGCCCTGGTGGATGTCTACGGTCTCACGCGGGGTGTCCAGCTGCTAGGTGAGTGCCATCCCTCTGCTTCTCGAGTGGCAGGGCGTAGCCCTCAGGGTTCAGGGGCTGGGACCGACCTTCATTCCCGTGAGTCATGGGGGCTTCATGGAGGCTAAGGGGCCCAGGAACGACTCCCGGGCTTTTCTAGGAACTGCAATTTCCCCCTCCTGGCCACAGCTTTGGCAAGTGAAACTCGGTGAGATTGTGACCCACACAGGCCCTCCCTCGGGGTGCTCTTTGAGTGGGGTACAACTGTCACCACCAGAAATGGCAGCCCCGTTCCTGCCTTGCTGAGGTTAATGTTGCTTTCGGTCACAGTTGGCAGTGGAAGCCTCAGCATGTCTCCTGGCAACTCTGGGACTTTATTTGATGAGACTCACATTCAGGGTTGTTAAGTCCGTCATGGATGGGTGGTGCAGCCAACTCTCTGTACTGGGTCTGCCTAGTCCAAGACCGTGTCCTAGCCCTGGACTACAGCTAGCCTGGCACCTGGGCTCCATCCTTACCCTAGAGCTTTCTTCAAGGATACTAGAGGATGGGAGAGGAGAGCAAGAGGCACTGGGAGCGGGAGCTCAGACCTGCAGCTTAACTTAGACCTTTCATGGGGAGGGGAAGGACTAAGCCCCTAGGAACTACTAGGGGACATTAGAGGATGAAGTGGACCTAGATCACCAAGGGACAGGCTTCCTGGCCATGGCATCTGCCAGGACCGCCAGAGGCCTCAGACTGCATAGGGTCACACAAGGAGCCGGTCATGGAGGGGAGAACAGCCCAGCCCGTCTTTCCAGTGTGCATGTATGTTCAAGTCTGTGCTTGCAGACATGTGAACTCTACATGCAAACAGTGCCTGATCAGACAGCTTCCTCGTCTGGAAAACAGGTCCTGGGAAGAGACTGATGAAGTGGCCGCACTGTCCTGGGTATCAAAGACTCAAAGACATGCGAGCCACTCTGTCCCCATCCCACGCACTCTCTCTCACAGAGAGAGATGCCACCGGGGGTGGGGGTGGGGTTCAAAACCCATTCCCGTTTTCCTTTCTGCCTCCTAAGCCTAGAAGTTGTGAAAGTTTTCAGAGCCCTTTGACTTGAGTAAAGACTGAAAGTAAAAACAAAGACGTGAGTAATTGCCAGAAGCCTGTGTGTTAAGTTCCAAACATCAGGAGGCTGTTTTTGTTAACTAGCAGTTTAGGAACTTTCTGTTTTTCAAGTCAATAAAAGTGTCCCTGCATTCCTGCTGAGATGTTTAGGGCCCCAAACAGGCTATTCCTGGTGACAACCTACTGAAGAAGGGTATCCGGGCTGGCTGGGTGCCCCCCCCCCACTTCCTGTATGTACTGGGTATACCTGAGGGCCTTTACCTGCCAGAAATGATGTGCCTTAGCTAGCGAGACAAATCTGGGCTGGACCCTGGTCCAGCACAAGGGTGCCTGCACCAGGTAGGACCCACGTGTACTGCGGGGCAGTAATGACTGTGCTGAGGTCTCAAAGGATGGACAGATGAGGATCAGCTGATGCACAGTAGTGGCCAGTGGCTGTCAATCATCCCTACCTATCCTGTGGAGGACAATCCGCTTAACCCAGGGTTCACACACGAGAGCCCCTTCCTGCTGCCCTGGTGTCTCCTGGCTCTCACACTGGAAGGCAGTGGAATTCCAGAGCTTAAGTCTGAGCCCCAGGCCACTCATCCAGTCCAGCCTCAACCACCCGCTCTGAAAAATGTCTGTGTCTTACCCGGGTCCCTGCCACGTGGTGGAGGGCAGAGAATGAGTGGTGACTTCCTGCTCTTGAGAAGGTCACCGTCTTGTTGTGTGAGGGGCCTCCTGCATGCTAGGTGAGTGCCCCACCACTGAATGGGAGCTTTCGACTCTCCATCTTGAGACAGGGTCTCACTGGGTTGTCTGGGCTGGCTGTGTACTTGCGTTTTCCTGCCTCAGCCTCCCGAGTATGTGAGATTGCAGGCCTGTGCCACCAGGTCTGGCCAAGCGTGCCTTTCCTCACAGTCCCCATCTTGCTTGAAGGCCTAGCTTGGAAGCTGCCTCCTCCCTGAGGCCTCTGGTCAGAATTTTCCTCTCTATCCTGTTCCCACCACAGCTCTGTGGTCTCGGGCAGCCTCAGCCATCCTTGTGTCTGTTTTCCCAGAGGACAGGAGTTCCTTCGAGGAAGTTCTACACTGCCAGCTGCCTTTAGAGCCGTGGTTCTCAACCTGTGGATCGTGACCCCTTCGGAGGGTATCGAAGGATCCTTTCACAGAAAACACGGATATTTACATTACAATTCATAATAGCAAAATTACAGTTAAAACATAGCAGCGAAAGTCATTTTATGGTTGGGGGGTCACCACAACGTGAGGAACCGGATAAAGGGCCGCAGCATTCGGAAGGCCGAGAACCGCTGCTCTAGAGACTAACTCATTCAACCTTGCAAGTCTTGCTGGGTTTAGGCGGCAGCGTGGGAGGGGAGATTGGAGGCTGGCTGAGAGGAAGCGCTGGAAGATGTTAGCTGAAGAAGAGAGCGGGTGGGTGGAGCTGAAGGAGGCCAGCCCTACCTCAGACAGCCCTGGCCTCACTGGGCAGTTAGGGAGGCAGAGGAGACACCAGGACTCAATCGACATCCAACCTGGATGTAAATTGCTAACCTCTGTGGTCATAGAATCCCTCTCATCCGCCGGGACGCTTCCATCATTAGCTCACTTAACCTCTGGGCAGGCCTAGAAGAGTGCTTCTCATCCCCATTTGGCAGGGAGAAGACTGAGGTCTGTGGAAGGCCTGGCCTGCCCATGTAGGGATGTGGCCGAGCTGGGTCTGAACAAGGAGTTCCCACCGCCCTCCGCCCTCCGCCCTCCGGCAGGTTTACACATAAAAGGAGGCAGGAAGTGAAGGGAGGCTTGGCGGTAGACTCTCCAGAAGCTTCTTGAAAGAGGAGGCTCAAGCAGGCCGCACACATTCCAGGAACTGGACGATGGGTGGGAACAGGGGGGCCCCCGTTCCTAGTGACATGGGGACTCCGACCTTCAGGGTATTGAGAATAAGTAGGGGTGGAAGCCGGAGATGAATCAGCAGGGCCTCACGCTGGTGCTGGAGCCCAGGCTGACCAACCCAGCCTGACCCCCCCCCCCTCCTGTGACTATACATGGGTTTGCTCTGAGTAGCCGAGTTGCCCTTGGATCTGCTGCGGGCCACTTTGCATACTCGATGAGGAGGCTGAGGCCTGTGACTGCTGTCCCTGCGTAAATCACTGCAATCCCTGGCATCTTCAAACGAGGATTATGGCCCCTAAAGCCAATTAGTAGATTAAAATAGCTCTTCATTTCGCTCCTCCTAAATTGATGTGTGTGTGTGTGTGTGTGTGTGTGTGTGTGTGTGTGTAAAACAAGAGAGATGGAGGGGGAGGGGATAGAGATAGGGAGGAGGCTGGGGGAGGAAGATGGATGAGAAGAATGAGGTGGTGGGGTGAAGGCATGGGTCCCTGGGGGCCCCGAAGGTGGCTGGGATCCCAGGCCTGTGCCACCATGCCTAGCACATTCGAACCTTTCATAGTCCCCCTCTTAACAGCTCTCTCTCCTCTTAAGAAACTTGTTCCTTTTCTTGGTGGCTCTGAAGATGGGCCACTCTCTCCTGGGTTGACTATCCTCCAAAGACTATTAGACCTTCAGGAACTCCTCCAGGTTCCCCTGGCCCCTCCAGCTTGTGTGTGGAGCCACAGTCTCCACACCTGGCCGTCCAATCTTCAGAGTACAGGTGTTCTCACGCTCTTGGCACACTGAGTGTGGCAGGGCACACATCCGGGATTTGAGCCAGCCCATAGATGAATGGGCTGTACTCCTGAAGAAGTGGACAGTGTCGAGGCAGGGTCCTAACTCGCCTTCACTGTCGTCCAGACACAGTCTGCAGGCTGATTCCCCGCCTTCCAGGTCACTTCCCCATGTGGTGGCGCTCAGTAGCTCACCCTCTTTCCTGCGGGTGCCCTGGCCCGGACCTGGGATGCTATCTCCAACAATAACAGCTACGTACCTCCAGGAAGAAAGGCCTGCCAGCAACCAAATAAACACAAGTTTTATGGGGTGATTAATACTAGAACAGATAAACTCCTATCCCAGTTTCTCGTGGTCTCCTTGCTTCTCAACTTGGTGTGGAACACAGGCCTGTAACCTCAGTATTTAGGAGACGGAGGCAGGAGTATTGTGAGTTCAAGGCCAGCCTGGACTACATGAGACTGTGTCCCAAAGAGAAAAACGTTAGAGCGAGTGGCTATGACCTTGCAAAAGGCTGGTGAGCCCAGACTCCACTCACAAGGTGTCCCGGACAGCATGTCGTGCCTGCCATGGCCTGGGCTCTTTGAAGAGAAGGGAGAGTGATGGGATCATTGAAAACCCGGCTCCTCACCTTGATGAGTTTTGCACCAAGGGACACGCCACCTCACAGCTCTGAAGTGGCCCAAATCTGATTCTGCACTTAAGTGTGACCTGAAGTGTCCAGCTGTAGGGTGCCACTGGGAACGATCCAGGAGGACTTCTGTGGGAAAAGAAATCCAAGTTGGTGAAAGAACGGAGTGGCTGAAGAACAATTTAGCCATAAATGGATGTACACTGGCACGGGATGGGGAGTGAGCCAAGAGGGAAGTCCCGTTCTGGAAGGGAGCGTGAAGAAGAAAGGCAGAGGCAGCTTGTGGCCACGAGGGTTGTGTACAACTGGGCACACAGAGAGAGTCAAATGATCCGGGGGCTCCCGAGCCGTCTGGGTATTTAATGGGAGGAACCCTGGCTGATGGAGGGAGTGCCCGGCCCAAGGCGTGGTGGGGAGGATCTGGAATTGGCATCCCCAGCCAATCTGGACATGAGGTCAGTGTGAGCAGATCTGGTGCCACATCGGAGTGGTAGTGGCAGTGTCTGAGGGCCGGAAGTGGGGTTTACAAGGTTCATGCCCTTCTTCTCCTCTTTCCGAAGCCAACTTCCAGGTCCGGGTGGAAAGCCGCACCTGCCTGCTAGAGGGTGTTACACGTGAAGACTCGGGT